TGTTTGGATAAATGATACCTTAAACTGCTCTTGGGAATCTTTAAGCAATTATTCTGAGTGGAACAACTGCTACTGGACATGAACAAATTTAGCAAATTTAAATAAAGGGAAGAATGTGTATATTTCAAACGATAGGCTGTTAAGCTTAGTAAGTCTGTCAGTTAATAATATTTATTAAACACATTATAGGTTAAGCACTGGTGATACAAAGAAAGGCAAAATCATGGTCCTGCTCCACCTTTAGGAGATTATTCAAATACCCACATATGTAAAATATTTATTCAGCATAAATGGAAGGAAATCTCAGAGGGCAGGCACTTGCAGCCATGAAATGGGGGTGGGGTGAAAAGACATGATGGGGAAGGAAATTAGTCCTCCAGAAGGTGATCCAAGTCTTGATAGAAGGTAGGAAAGCTGAGAAGCAGCAGTGAAGAGGAACAGCATTCTAGGTATGGAGGTCAGCCAGTACAATGGAAGGTGGAGTCTCCTGTGCGAGGAATGATAACTAGACCACTGTATGTGGACTCTAGAGTATATAGAAGAGAATAAATTGTAAGAACACTGGAAAGTGGCCAGATTAGGAAGGACTTTAAATGATGAAAAGTGGTGTTTGTATTTAAGCTTAGACACAGTGTGGAATCATTGGATGTTATTTAGTAGGGGATAATGTGGTCTGATCTGCTCTTTACAAAAATGACTTTAGCAGCTGGTCTTTTGTAGTTGAGAGAAGACTGAGACAAAGAGACCAGGAAAGGGAAGATTTTACTAGTATAAATGAGTGGTGATGTTGTGTGAAGTGAGAGGAGATAATGAGAAATATTATAAGGGTAAAAATGACAAGATTTGGCGATGCATTGGGTATATCAGGAAACTGAGGGTGAGGAGCTGAAGATGACATTGAGTTTGTGAGCATCCTGAATGATGTTGGGGAACTCAACAGTAACAATGAAGTTGAGAAAAGGGGACTATTTGGGAACGGGGAAATATAATGAATTTTGTTTTGGACATGTGGTTGAAAGGCCTACAGAACTATATCGATACAAGACACAGTTGGTGAGGGAGGACTGATTCTCAAGCGTGACATTAAGATTAGCAATCCTTTCCCCTTCCTCCCAATAGGGGATGATACATATACATGGCTTTGAAAATGGTAAAATGACCAGCTGACAAAAAAAAAAAGGAAGTCTTTAGTACAATGGCTTGCTTTGAGAAGCAGCAAGTTCTACCTTTTTAAGATCTTCAAGAAGATACTGGACAACCACTTGTCAGATATATTATAGTAGGATTTACTTCACATTTAGGTTGGAATAGGTGGCCACTGAGGACCTTTCCAACCGTCCAAATCTGTCATTCTATGTTTTATAGTAGATACTAATTCATCTTAGAGGGAAAGGCACCGGCATCTGGTGAGCCCACCTATGTTTGATCAGAACTTTCAGAGAGAAGGAAGCAGAGACCCAGTTAGGTTAAGTGCTTTCTAACAAGTCATAAATATCAGTAAGCGGCTTTGAACCCAGCTCTTCATATAACAGAGCCAGTGCTCTTTTCACTATATTATTCTGTCACAATGAGCTAATGTAAAACTGAACAATTAAACCAACAGTAAAATGCAATGAATGAAAGTGACTAAGATAATATCACTATAAATAATTCATAAAATAGTCTAGCAAAGAAAATCATTCTAAAACTGGTGTTTTTCACCCCCTCCACATCCTGTGTGCTCAGCCTCCCATTTCCTCTACCCTTTATGTTTTATATTCTCTACCATCTCAGTTTTCTATTTCTGTCACCTTTACTCTACAACATCCTTTGTCTTTTATTAAAGGAGTCACAAAATATGTTATTTTCCACACCAAAATGACCTATCTAAAAAAGAGTTGGCTAAAACTTAAAGGCGGTATAACTTTAAAAAGCTTTGGGAAATATTTCATTCCTCTTTGCATCTCATCCCCAAGCCTGTTAAAGATTACTTTCTTTTGAATCCTACAATTTACTTTATATGGTTAATTCTTCTTGATTTGTGTACTTAATTTAGTACTACAAATGTTTGTAATTATTGTAATAACAACAACAAATGCCTCTAGATGACTGCATTTTTTCCCCACCAATATATGGCAAGAAAGGGTTAAGATTCTGAGAATGATTAAGCTTTATCTACTATCTTAATTATACTTCTATTTGTTTTAAATACCTTCTTAATGGATAGGATAGTCATTTATTGAGATTTGAGTTTCCCTTATACACACCACATATAAATAAGTGTATATATACATATACATATATGCACATATATGTGTGTAAATATGAATATATGTATGTAAATCTATTGATTTATTATAAAACTAAAATGTCTGAGATACAGTTCAATGAGTCCTATATATCTTTTGGGTTAACTATTCAAACATACATACACATACACATATTATGTAGGTATAAGAGACAATACTAGATGCATGTTTCTCTTTTATAGGTATATAAAAACATATATACATATATATTTGTATATATATATACATATATATACCTCATATAAATACATTAGCAAACGTATGCTGATTAGCAGAATGCAGCCTAGATATACAAAAAATGAAACAAAAATGATTACCAGATTTGAAGGAAATTAAATTTTTTTTAACACAAATGAATCATTTTTGAGCTAACTCCCACCATTCTAAAAAGAATTGTTTCATAATCGTCTTGAGATTAAACTGCATGAAGGAGAAAAGCACAAATCAAATGCATTTTTTATCTTTAAGCACAAATGCTTAATAAATATGATCTAATAAAAGCATACAGCCTAGATAGCAGAAATAGTTTTTACACAATGGATTTTTTTATTTATTTGGTTTATAAAATAAAAAAAATATTCTGTCCTCTTAAAATTGGGTGCATTTTCTTATATGCACAAAATTAAAGTTAATAGGATCATAGATTTAGTGTTGGAAAGGACTTATAGAGAAGATCTAATCCAGATCCCTCGTTTTGCAGATGGAGAATCTGAAGTCAAGATAACTTTAGTGACTCTCTCAAACTAAAAGAGATAATAGTGGAAAATTTGGATTATATATATATATATGTGTGTGTGTGTGTGTGTGTGTGTGTGTGTGTATAAATTATTTTATTCCCCAAATAGAACTCATTAGAAAAGGATACAGGAACTTTAAAAGCCATCACTTAAAATACTCCCTCTTTACAGATGAGGAAACTGAGGACCCCCAAAAGAGAATTTACATGCCAAATGTCACATAAGGAGAAAGATCAATATTCAAATCCAAGTCTCCTATCTACATGTTCTATCACTTTTTTATACTACCCCCAAAATACAAGGTATTACAGACATTAGCAACATATGAGCAATCTAAAGTGAGAACTGGAATTATAATTTATTTCTAGTCTGTGACCCAAGATTTGTAGCCACAAAACTGATAAAGGTGCAAATGGATTTGTGACTTCATGAACTTACATATTCCTTAAATAGTGCTGATCACAATTCATCCAAGCCCTTCCATCCTGTGAAACTCTAATTCATTTCCTTTCTAAGTTGATTCAAAAGAGTCCACCTAAAGAGCTATAGACTTTCCTAATTTTCTCCAGAAATCCCAAGGAACTAATAGGACATCCTGACTGTCAATACTAGTGTCATACAGTAGAAAGAACACTCAATTTGGTGTTAGAATATCTGGGTTAAATCCTACCTTTGCCACCTGCTACCTGTTTCACCTTAGACAAGTCAGGTAAACTTTCTTTTTCTTTTTTTCCTCAGCTATTGAATGAGGCTGGTTGTACTAGATGGCCCAATGGTCCCTTCTGCCTGTAAGGCTTTAATCCCTTGTCATGTGACTAGCCTATGTTCTTTTTCTGTTACATAAGTCCCTGATGACATTTCCTTTTCAAAGCTTTGCATCTGTCATATGTTGAAACTGGCTCTCATCCACCCACCAAGCACCTCTTTATTGCTCTTTCTGTGATATTTAATTTCAATTCCTCAAAGACTGTTATGTTCTAAGCCTTGATGCCACAGTAGACTGCTATAATATAGGTATTATAAATATAAGAATTTGTTTCTTGGAGGTGTTTGGGGTCATAAAAGAGACAACGATATTCTCATGTCAAAGCAGCATGACTTTTTTTTTTTAGTGAGGCAATCAGGGTTAAGTGACTTGCCCAAGGTCACACAGCTAGTACATGTCAAGTGTTTGCTCTGAGGCCAGATTTGATCTCAGGTCCTCATGACTTCAGGGCTGGTGCTCTATCCACTGCACCACCTAGCTGCCCCATGACTTTTTTCTTATATTAAATTTTTGGATGGACTTCTTGACTTTTTGTACTGTCTATATCGATATATACTAAAAGTCAAGAGCTATGGTTTATCGAGTCAACTGCATATAATGATCAGGGCAACATTTTTCATTTACTAATCTTTCCTTCATTAATGGTCTAGCTGAACATTTGACTCTGTATAGATCTTTTTTAGAAGGTTTTACAATGGTATTAATTGATTAAATCATAAGAAATGCTTGTATGCTACATCTACAAAAGGTATGCCACAAACCCTAGCATGTAGAAAATAAGAAAATAACCTATATTAAAGTCAAAGCTTTATCATTTTCAAACTCAGCTTGGGGTTGACAGATGATATCAGAGGCACGAGATCATCAAATAGGTTTGGTCCAAAAGATCTTGTTTTCATGTTTGGCAAACCAGTCTGTTTGGGTTCTGTCCCAGTTGTTAACATTGGGAAAGGTGCAGATGATTTTTTAGTCCTATTCTAATTTGTTGGAGTTATATAATCACATCTTAAACTCAAGCACATTTAACAATAGGCATATAAAATTTATCTGTTGTATATTAAATCACAAGACAGACACATACATATACATAATACATAAATAATATGCATATAAATATTCTATATGTTTGTGTATATCTGTGTATATCTGTGTATTTATACACAGATAGATAGACAGAGATATATGCAAAATGGAATGAGTAGTACTTACCAATGACAGGGAAGAGTCCTGGTACTAAACATCATGTTGCAAATGAATATGGTTCATCCAATCCACAATCTGTTATAAAACTCATCGCTAAAGTATCTTCTATAATCATCCATATCTAAATAAGAAATAAAAAAATATCAAAACATTGCAATTTCATAATGTTTAACAGGAATCATAATCAGCTTAGAAGATGAAAAAGAGCTCACATTTATAACATATTTCAACTAACAAAGCACTCTCTTGAAAATGACTTTATCTTATAAGAAGAGTCGGAATTCTTCATACATACGTACATATATACGTACACATATATTTATATATGTGTGTATAAATATAGATTATATATATTTATTTTTCACATTCTTTTTTTTAAATTTTTAATTTCAAATTTTTTCCCTACCTCCGAACCTCCCCAACTTGTTGAGAAGGCAAGCAATATGATATCAATCATACATGTGAAATCATGCAAAACATATTTCCACATTAGCTATTTTGCAAAAAGAAAATAAAGTGAAAAAAGTATGCCTCAATATGGAACTCATACTTCATCAGTTCTCTCATAAGGTGCATGACATTTTTCATCTTGAGTCCTTCAAAATTGTCTTTGATCACTGTATTGATCAGAGTAGCCAAGTGACAGCATTCTTATCTCAATTTCACAGATAATGAAACTAAGACCCAAAGAGGACATCTGGCACAAAATCACATAAGTGGGGGAGTTATAACTCTAACTTAGGACCCTGTACCCAAACCCATTATTGCTATTTACTGTATCACACTTTTTTTCTAATTATACTACATTAATTAGTGGGAAATATATGTGTTGATTGAATATTGATTTCAGTTAAAATACAAACATCTCAGGAATAAAATTGGACCATGTATTTTTACCTCTCTCCTCCCTTCAAAAAAAATTTAACCAAGGTTAGACACACAGTAGCTGCTCAATGAATGCCTGATGACAAATTAAAAACTAAAATTAAGAAACATGCTTAGATTAATAAATAAGATGAATTAGTATTATAATTATAAGTAAATTTACATATTTCTTTTCTCTTTCAGAATCAGAAAAGGGGGTAGGTAGGAATCTATAATACAATAACATGGAAATTATTTGAAGAGGGAACTGAAAATAGATTCTTTAGAAGCTTTAATTCCATGAAGAATATAGAGATAAAACAATGAATGAGCAAATAAACATACCACCAAATAAAGAATGAAAGTTTAGAATAAATGAAAGAGAGCAGATTTAAAATGATGAGGGAAATAAATATTTTTTTTTAGAAAAAGGTATAGAAAAAGAAAAATAAACCAAAAAAGTTGAAGGGGCAGAGAGGAAGGGGGATGCTACTTAATCACTTAACTGAGAGAGGAAAAAGAGAGACTGAAAATGATAACTACACAAAAAGGAGGAAAGAAAAGAAAGAAATTTGTTGTTCAAATGAAACTCAATATAGGGAATGCGTGACATTTGGGAGAGTTGTTGAGAGGAAGAGGGAGGGAGAATCTGTGGGAAAAATGTTGCATTGAATTACATTAAGCAAAAATCACCCAAAAAAGTACTTTATAGAGGAGAAGCAACATAAAAAGTTCTGAATTCAGAAAAGCAAAAAATATTAGAGATGAAGGGAAATATAAACCTAATTCTCCTAATTTTAAATGTAAATGCGTTCAACAATCCAATAAAATAATAAAAAAACAAATGACAGATTAAGTAAGAAAACACAACCCCACAATTGGCTCTTTCTATTCCATAAAGAGAAAAGGGAGATATGGATATGATGTCCATGTCATGCCAAAGCTACTCATATAAAAGTATACAAAATGATTACAAAGTAGATACAATATAATTTTAAAGGGGAGGTAGTAGGTGAGGGAACATGGAAAAGCCTCCTACACAAGCTGGCATTTCAGCTGAGTGTTGAAGGACCCAACAGATTCTAAAAAGCTAAGTGATGAGGGAGAGAATTTCAAGCATATATGACAGATACTGCACAGGGACAGGAGATGGGGTACTTTGTGTGAGAAAGGGCAAGTAGGCTGGGGTTGCTTTACTATAGAGGCAGGAAAGAGGAATTATGTATTAAAATACTGGGAAGATAAGAAAAGGCCAGGCCAAGAGATTTAAATGTTAAAAAGAGGAGTTTATATATTATCCAAGAGATCATAGATATTTGAGTTCATTGAATAGGTGGCATGATGTGGTGAGACCTGAGCCTTAGGGAAATACTGACTCAATGTGTAGTACTTATAATTTCTCAGGGAATGAATGAAGGATTGCAATAGAACTGTTAAATATCAATATTGGGGAAATAATCATTCTATCCTTGTGGTCTACTTGACAAGCAAAAGACGAAGAAGATTATTTGTATTACTCTGTATTTCAAAGGATATATGCTTCTCCATCCTATCTTCCCCATGCAACTTCCCCCTTCCATCCCACAAACACAGTGATTGGATTTATGATGAGAAAAATATTATAGATAGGAAAACCTTTTAATGATTGCCAGTAATGCCCAAACTGTGAATATGTTAAACATGAGTAATACACTTAGAAACAAGGTTAATTTCTCACCCAAACAAGTTATGTGGCCCATGTCACAATTTAGTTCACACATTTTGCTACTTTTTTCATAAACTTCCCAGAGAAATATTTTGGTTTGCAAGAAAATCCCAAGGGAAATATGTATAAAGTGCAAGCTCCATAATTTCAAGAAACTAAAATGATTTCAAGTTTAGGATTTCAAGTCGTTTAAAAACAACACTCTAGGTAGCAGTCAACTTAATTGGTGTTCATTAAGAGAGATTCTTGAAAGGCATTTAGGATTAAAACATTTTACAAAAATTATTCACTCAAAATATATTAACATTTGATCTAATATGAAAACAGCCATTCATGCTAATAAATAATTGGCACCAATAGTCAAGTAGCTATCAATGAGTAGTATTAAAAACCATTCATTCCTGACAGGTCCTTGGAGAGTTCAGTACAACCACTTAGCCATTAAAGGCCATGACAGTAAGGCATTTACTTGCATGTGCTGTGAATTACCAATTCCATAATTGTTTTACTGATACATGCAAGAGAAAACATATGTGACTTCTGATGAAATTTATATTCACTTATTCCTCCTCTGATGCTGTTTCACTATGGGGAATATACTTGCTTTCCTGAAAGAAAACAGACACTAAATACCTGGAAGAATTATTAAACTTGGCCCTTTTAGTTGGGGAGTAGGGAGATGGGATATGTTCTAGCTTTACAATGGAGAAAAATAAATTAATAATCAAAGAAAAGTCCCAAGGATTTTTTAAAACTATTTTCCTTTACAGAGAGAATTAAAAACTCATCTTGGTGATTGGCAACACAAGAAGGGTGGTTTTAGTATTCATACTCGTTTAGTAATTAACACACACACATTAAGCATCCAACATAATAGTATACCCACACACACAACTTCCTCTAACTGAATTAATGGATAGCAATTTTTATACCGTAATATATTAAAATCAAGGAATTAAGTAACCATTATTACTGGCCAAAAGATACAGAAATTTAGGTAGTTATACCCCTACAAAAATGACCTTAACCAATATAATTTATCAAAAAAGCAGGGCGGAGCCAAGATGGCAGAGTGAAAGCAGTGACTTGCTTGAGCTCTCCCCCAAACCCCTCCAAATACCTGTTAAAAAATGGTTCTAAACATATTCTAAAGCAGCAGAACCCACAAAAAGACAGAGTGAAACAAATTTCCAGCCCAAGACAACCTGGATGGTTGATCAGAAAGGTACATCATGCTAGGAGGTGAAAGGACTGCAGTTTGGCATGAGCGCGCAGGCGGCAGCGAACCTGAGCAGGCCTCAGAGTACTGAATCACAAGCAGCGGTGGCAGTTTCCTAACTTCTCAACCCATGAATGCCAAAGACAACTTAGAAGGTCAGTGGGAAAAGTCTGTGACTGCGGTGAGAGAGAGAAGCTATGTCTCAGCCACAAGTCCTGAGCATGACATGTGATGGTGGCTGCCTCCTGAGCTTCCGGAGGGGTAAGCGAGTGGCTGACCAGAGGGGGATTGCAGGGATCTCTTTGCCAGTGCTGACGCATGAATCTCTTGCTTTGCTGGTGCTTGGATCTGGGTCACAGTCCTGGGGCGAGGAGGAGTGCTGATGTGGTGGAGTTTGTAGTGGCTGTGGAGAGGAAACCCTCCTCACAGTTCCAAGACAGAAAAGAGTGCTCATAGACCAGAGCACAGGCCAAGAAAGGAGTAAACACCTCACCTTTGATCATAGCACATTGGAAGAATTGAAAATGTACAGGTCCCTAGAAGTATCTCTGAAAACAGCTGCACAAAACCCCTGAAGCTTGGGACAGTACATTCTCCACACTGGAAACAGACTCCTACCTTCACAAAGAGTCTATAACTCAATTAATTGGCTGAGATCATGAGCAAGCAGTGCAAAAAGAGTCAGACTATATCATTTTACTTTGATGACAAAGGAGATCAAAACTTACAACCAGAGAAGACAACAAAGCCAAAGTTCCTACATCCAAAGCTTCCAAGAAAAATATGAATTGCTCCCAGGTCATTGAAGAGCTCAAAAAGGATTTTGAGAAGCAAGTAAGAGAAGTAGAATAAAAACTGAGAGTGATGCTAAAGGAGACCCAACAAAATATTGACAAAAATAACATCTTAAAAAATAGCCTAACCCAAATGTCAAAAGAGGTCCAAAAAGCCAATAAAGAGAAGAATGTCCTAAAAAGCAAAATTGGCCAAATGGAAAAGGAAGTCCAAAAGCTTACTGAAGAAAATGCTTCCTTAAAAATTAGAATGGAGAAGTTGTAAACTAAGGACAATTTGAGAAAACAAGGCACTGCAATACTAATCCAAAGGAATGAAAACAATAGAAGAAAATGTGAAATATCTCATTAGAAAAACAACTGACCTGGAAAATAGATCCAGGAGAGAGAACTTAAAAATTATTGGACTATCTGAAAGCCATGATAAAAAAAAAAGAGCCTAGACATCATCTTTCAAAAAATTATCCAGGAAAACTGCCCTGATATTTTAGAACCACAGGGCAAAATAGAAATTGAAAGAATCCACCAATCACCTCCTG